TACCCTTTCCTGTATCAACTTTAGAGTTTGTGGTCTGATACTAAGATCCTCGATCCATTTTGAGTTAATATTGGTATAGGGTGATATACATGGATCTAGTTTCAGTTTTTTGCTTTATTTTCTTGATTATGGCAAAAAACAATGTCATTGATCACAAAAATGGTTAAATTTTTCCAAGGCCTTGTTATAACAAAATGTTAATATTTGTAGTATTTATTAGGTGAAAGATATTTTCATTTACATTTAGTTCACTGGAATCTTGAGTACTTGGCTTTAGCTAAAGAAGAAAATGTCTTTTGATTGAATTAATTATTGTGCATTTTGAAATATATGATGGTTTTTGTGACTGGATTAATTTACTGGTATATAAAGAATGTGTAAGCTTGTAAACCTCGCAAACTCAGAGATTCTCAAACTTTACAATAGATCAGAATTACCCGAAAGCCTTGTTGAAACACAGATTACCACTGATTTGAGTAGTCAATATATCTGACATGGGACTTGAAAATTTACATTTTCAAAGAAGTTTCCAAAAGGCGCTGACTGAACAACAATTCCAGGGGCTCTACTTTGAAAACTACTGCCCTAAATCCTTTCCTGAACAATGTGAAAATAAATTAGCTAAATACATGGGGAATCTAATAAGTAAACTAGTAGGTGATTTGCATTGCTTTCACCTTATTGCTTGACTTGACAATTCTGAGAACTACTTTAGTTGCTGATATTAAGCTTAATATTTACCTGACAAAATCCTGGAAGTCAGAGCTTAGTGTTCATCAGAAGATGTCACCTCTTGTCTTGGAAAACCCTAGTGCTGACTACATGACCCTCTAAGTCACTTAGACCCCCTAGCATCACTGGCTTGGGTCCCACCTCTGCACCACCCTCTTCACAAGATTATGGGGGATTAAATGACCATGTATTTGATGGGGCTTTGAAAACTGAAAGGCAGTATAAAATGTAGACAGTTATTTCAAAACATTTCATTCCATAAATATGGAGCAACCTATATCAATTTTATGTTTTATGTTTATTTAAGTTCAAAGTCATATTTACAGAACAACAGCATAACCACTTCACAAAACAGCTCATTACTTAGTTACCACAATAACACTTTTTCTACACTTTTGTTACTGTTTTAGAGGAATAGATTCCATGCTTAAGTTACACCATTTGCCACTGCCATGTTTCTTGGCAATGTATGTATGGATTGCTTGAATCTTATCAAAATGTAGACTCTGAGTCAGTATTTCTGGAATGAGGTCTGAGATTCTGCATTTCTAATGAGTTTCCAAGTAATACTTGTGCACCTGGTCTCTGACCACACTTTGCAGGGCAAGACTCACAATTTACTTGATTCATGTCCCTTGATGAGACTTTTTTAGTGTGTATCTTCCTTACATTCTAAAGTTATGTCTATAGATGTGTGTGTTTAATCCATACTCCAGTAGCATAAATCAGCTAATGAGAAACACTGGGTAATCTAAATTAATCATTATCCACCATAATAAAGAAGTAAAAACATCAACATGTTGATACATTACAGCTAGAAGCATATTTATTGAGAGTTAAATCAGTACTATTGAACATGGACCTATATTTTAATTGAAATTCTTTTGTTGACAGTACTTGGGTTTGAACTCAGGACCTTGCACTTGCTAAGCAGACACTCGATCACTTGAGTCATACATCCAGCCTTATACTTTTCTTAAAAATGCTATATTTTGTCTTATTCTGCCTATGGGTAAATGATTTTAATCTCCATGTATGATCTCTTTCATTGCAGGTAAAAATTGAGCTACCAACACAGCTCCATGATAAACATCATATTTTGTTTTCTTTTTATCACATCACATGTGACATCAATGCAAAAGCCAGTGCCAAAAAGAAGGAGGCTCTGGAAACTTCAGGTACTGACAGGAAGAGATGTGAAGTAGCTTTACTTCTTTACATCTGTTTGACTTGAGTTGGAGAAGTCTCTAAAAAGCTCAGATATATTGAAATTTTTGGTGAGCTTAGTGATCGTGCATGACAAATGGGTGCATTTTTACATCTTACCATGGAAATTTGTGTTCAAAAGTTTTCTCCTTATTATTCCTTTGCACAGTGGGATATGCATGGCTTCCTCTGATGAAACAGGATCAGATTGCTTCTCAAGAGTATAACATCCCAATAGCAACTAGTCTGCCTCCTAATTATTTAAGCATTGAAGATTCTTCAAGTGGAAAGGTATTCAGCAATATGTAATTTATGCTAAAAAGCATGAGGATATCTACTTTCTCTGCTACTTAAGACCATAGTGTGTGTATCCATTGTACTTATGAGTTATGTGTACCTACAACCATCCAAACCCCTTGTAGTTTATGGCTACTAGAAATGAATTACTAGCAGTGACTCCCCTGGCAATATCTCCAATATTGCCAAAGGTATTTTCATCTTTTCTTTTCTATCTCTGTAGTAATGTAAGGTTAATGGTTTGGGATGGCAAATGAACACAAGCTAAATAAGCTATTTACTTTCTCTCAAATTCTCACAGTGACAGTAACAAACTCTTTTTTTACAGCATGGTGGGAGTGACATTAAATGGGTTGATGGCGGCAAACCACTTTTCAAAGTGTCGACATTTGTGGTCTCAACAGTGAACACTCAGGTGAGTGCATTCTTCTCTGACACACAGAGTGATAAGGAGACTCCCATGTGCCCAGGATGAAACCAGTCATTCCATGAGGGATCAGAAGTAGTTGTTGAATACTCCAAAGGAAGAGGTGTAGGGCAGAATTTTATGCCTCTCTCCAGCTAGATAAGTAACCCTAAACCTCTACGCCCAGGTGCCATAAAACTTCAAACCAAAATATTAGAAGTGTATTTAACTGGATGATAGTCCTATTGCAGTATGATTTTCTTCCACTGACAACACCCCAGATGTTGAAGTTATTAAATGTTAAAAATAAAAGATTTTGGACATTTACTACAAAACTAATCCAATTCCCAGTGCCTACCCAGGATCATGAGATTGTCAGAACTTCATTTGAGAGTCACCTTGGTCAAGTGCTGGCTCAGTGTCCCTGGACAAGTCACTTTACCCCCTGCAGTTTGTACTTCCACATCAGGAAAATGGTATCAACAAAATATCCCTACTTAAGGTTGTGATGAGGAGCAACACGAGAAAACATGTCATGAGCTGCAAAACGCCACCTGTGCATAGGTGATCATCACCAGTACTAAACTGCCACAAACTCACCTCTGCTGTGGCAAGGCATCTTCGCTTTTCAATTTTTCCCTCATGCTGCTTTATCTCTAGCCCAGACTTGGTTGCTAAGAGCAGTGAAATAATGTAGATAATCAAAATTTTATGTGCTTTAAGGCAAATTTAGTCCTCGTATCCCCTCTTACCCCTCATAATCACAATGGATTAAGCCATCTCTCCTCAGTTTCTAAGTGCCCACGTCCCTCTCTGCACTCTCTGCCTTCCAGCCAACCTCATCCACTTCGTTCCCCTGAGATTGATTATACTCTGGCCCTTCTTAGGCACCTCTTCGTCTCTCCTCCTCTTCTTTTTGCTGGTCTGGTGGGTTCACACCAGACCTTTTCACTGAACTGGTCTACCTGCCCAGATAGCAACCTCCTATGTGTTTGAAACACTTCTCAAACTGTGATTAAGTAGGTGTGTGTGGAAGTTGTGGTGTAGTGCTGGTCTCCCCATCATGATGGAAGATCCACAGAGGAAGGGACCATGATTGCCCTGCCCTCCACTCTGCTCTGAGTGCCTGCCAGGGGCCTGGCAAACAGTCAGCTTTCAATAAATAATGACTGACTAGATGAGTCATTGAAGTGATATTTAAAAGGAAAGAGCTGTCCCTAGTTAATAAAGAACAACAGCTTGGAAATATAAGACATCGTGTACACATCCACCCCAACCTGAAGGGAATCCATGCCTCAGATGCCCTTCTAGAATCATCAAATGCCAGAGAAACATTCAGAATTCACTCAAATTCTATATCTTGCTTCCTGACTGCATAACTCGATGCAGAATTCAGAGACTTTCCAAATAGCCTTTGTGGGTAAGAGTGGATTTTATCTCACAACAATCTTTATTGAATACTTCCTAATATTGGACTGATTCAGGGAATTTTAAGCCCGGAAATATTCTTGCACATATTAAAAATGCATGCCCTCCTGTGTGTTAAGGAATATGTAAGAGAAATTGGTAGAAGTCTATGGAAGAAGCATGAATAGAGAGATAAACAAAGGAAATTTTCAAAGAAAAAAAGGAGCCCAGCCAAGGGAAGTAGCTCTCTAGCTATTGCCATGTGGCCAAGAAAGACAACAAAACTATGAGACTGAAGTAGGAGAGGGAGTGGCTTTGTAGTTCAGTAGGCCTGGATGTCCACTGAGAATGGAAGCACTGCCATTGTGATTCCATGATACAGCTCTTGTGCACCAAGGCCTCCACCCTCCAGAAGCTCTCACCTCCCATCACAGGGAATGTAACAGTTTGTTTCATCAGAAACACTTCTTTTGCTATTGCAGGATCCACATGTGAATGCATTTTTCCAACAGTGCCAAAAAAGAGAGAAAGACATGTCTCAGTCACCTACCTCAAGTTTCGTCCGCTCTTGTAAGGTAACGTAGCATGCAAGCAGTTTTGGAGATCTCCAGGGTAAACATGAACCAAGGAGACCTCCCATTTTCCACTGAATATTAAACTAAGAGGTGATTCTTCTTGAAGACTTGGAAACAACTTATTGATTCAGATTGTAAATGATTTTATTTTACCATTTCTAAATAGTTACGTCTGTTGCCCTAAAAAGAAAAAAAGCAGATCAGTTTTTGCCGAAACAAAAATGAATGAAAATCAGTCTCTTTACTGTGATTGGTTAAGTGGAGAGCCCTGGCAACATTGCCTTCACGCTCTGTCCTTGTCATGCTAACGGCAGTGTAGAGTAAAGCCAGATAAAGGGGAGGGATGGTATTCATAGCCACATTCTGAAAAACACCAGCAGAATGTGCTCAATCATTTATTCTTATTCATGGAATCAAAAACCTTTACAGGAATTTATCACATAAGCATGATGTTTTGAAATATGTGCACATTGTGCAATGGCTGAGTGAAAGTGATTAGCAGATGCATTACTTCAGATACATATCATTTTTGTGGTGAAAACATTTAAAATCTACTCTCCTAAAGATGTTCCAAACATAATTGCGGACTTGGCATTGTGACACATACCTGTAATCACAGCTACTCAAGAGGTGTAGAGAGGAAGATCATGGTCCAAGGCCACTGTGAGACCCTATTTGAGAAAAAAAAAAAAAAGCAAAAGACTGAATGGATGGCTCAAGGGATACAGCATTTGCCTAGCAAGTGCAAGGTCCTGAGTTCAATCCCCAGTACTGTCAAAAAAGAAAAAGAACACAATTGTTATTGGCTCTCTTCATCACACTGTCCAATAGAGTCCTTGAACTTACTCCTAACTGAAATTTTGTACCCATGACCAACCTCTCAGTAACACCTTCCTCTCCAGCCCTTTGTAACCACCATTCTACTCTTTGCTTCTTTTAGTTCAACTTTTTTAGATTCAACACATTATCTCACACAGTATTTGTCTTCCTGTGCCCAACTTATTTTACTTACCATAATGTCCTCCAGGTTCATCCATGCTGTTGAAAATGGCAGAATTTTCTTCTTTCTTAAGGCATTGTGTAGATGAACTATATTTTCTTCATCTGTTTATCTATTGATGGAAATTTAGGTTGTTTCTACAGTCTTCATAGAACAAATTCTAGATTTTATTTCATGGAATAGATTGCATGATATTATGAATAATGACATAACAGTGCAGATGTCTTATCAACATACTAATTTCACTTCCTCTAGATATATACCCAGTAGTGGGATTGATGGAGATCAGGCAGTTCTATTTTTTCATTTTTTTGAGGACCCTCTATAGTTTTTTTCTATTATGGCTGTCTAACTTGCATTACTACCCACAATGCACAAGGCTTCCTTTCTCTCCATATCCTCAGCAACACTTGTTATTTTTTATCTTTTTGATAACAGCCATTCTAACAGGGTTAGCTGTGGTTTTAATTTACGTTGCTTTGATGACAAGTGATGTTGAGTACTTTTCATATACCTGTGGACAGTTTGTGTTTCTTCTTTTAATAAATGTCTTTTCAGGTCCTTGGCCCATATTTTAAATTGTTATTTGCTTGCTATTGAGTTTTTTTAGTTCTTACTGTATTTTAGATGTTTACCCCTCCTCAGATACATCGTTTTCAAATGTTTTCTCCCATTCTGTAGGTTGTCTTGCTTTCGTGATTATTTCTTTGGCCTTGCAAAAGCTTTGTGGTTTGATGCAATCCTATTTGTCTATTTTCACTTTTGGTGTTTCCTTTTTAGGAATTATTTCCAAAACATCATTGCCTAGATAATCAATTTGAGATTCCCTCCTGTGTTTTCCAAAAGTTTTGGAGTTTCAGGTTGCAATGTAAGTCTTTAATCCAGATCATGCTTTATATTTAATTGGTATCTTTTTTTTCTGTCAATTTACTACAGAATTTATTAAATGTGGAAAAGATTCATGCAATCATGAGTTTTCTGCCTGTAATCTTGAATCAACTCTTCAAAGTCCTGGTACAGAATGAGGAAGATGAAATAAGTACAACAGTCACCAGGTATCCACAACACAACTTGGGAGAAGAGGTTGTATAATAAGAAAAACAGACTTCTTGATTTTATCTGAATAGCTATCGAGTTACTGGTGTGTATTTACACTTCATTTGAACACATTTCTCAAATTTAAGTACTTCTCAGTCTTGAATCTTTATCTGCTAATCACCTATTATTACCACTAGTAAAGTATTAGATGTTTTTCTGAATTTTTCTTAGGTTTTTGAAAGATTTTACTTTGAGATGATCATAGATTCACAAACAGTTGAAAGAAGTAATTTGGAGAGAACCAATATACCTTGTACCAGTTCCCCCACACTGACAGTATCTCAGCATTTTCCATATATACATATACCTTCCATATATATGGAAATATACAATATGTAACCTTTTGTTACTGGCTTTTACACTCAGAATAATATTCAGAGAGTCCTAAAGATTTATTCCGGTTGTTCATCTATCAATAGTTCATTCCTTTTCATTGCTGAGTAATATTCTGTGATATGGATATAGCACAGATTTAATAATTCACTTGCTGAGAGATGTCTTGATTATCTTATAATATATGAATAAAGCTACCACAAATACTCATGTACAACTTTTGTGTACTTATAATTCTTCATTTCTGAGATAAATGCTCAGGAATGCAGTTGCTGTATGGAATGGTAGTTATATATTAGAGTTTTAAAAGTAGCTGTATCATGTCACATTCCCACAAGAAACTTTTTAAAAACACATTTTTCTTTAGTCGCATTTCAAATTTGGTTCTACCATACTCTTCCAACATCACTAATGTGGTTAGCAATGTAATCACAATTTCCCATTTATAGAGGTAATGTTTTGAATTAATAGTTTTATTTTCCTGTTGTTCATTTAAAAAAAATCTTAGCATTCTGTAAAAAAAAATACTGTTGTTATTGAAATGTTTACAATATCTTCCATACTCACAAGCATATTATTTACTATTCCAGAATGTGGGTTTTAGCCTAGTTTTTAGAGCCCTGAAGTTCTAGAAAATTAACTGTCTATATTGGTTCTACAGCAAGCCAGTTCTGGACCCAGATTAAAAGTATCCACCTGGGCCTTCAACTAATGTCCTCTTCAGCTGTGTAGATGTGTCTGTGTTAAGAGACTTTAAAATATTACAGCTGATAGATATGTTGAAATTCTGAAATATTCCTCAGTTCTATCACCATTGCAACAATTATAAATATGAATAAATTCAACTCGTACCCATAATTGCTACTTGAAATCCTAACTCAGATAAGAGAAACAAAACAGGTACATCTTACCCTGCTCCCTTTTTTCCAAAAGGACATACTCTGCTCATAGGTTGGAAGGCAAGCCCTGTTAAAATAGCATATAATAATGAATTAGAGGTTGAAATCTTTAGTTTTAATGAGGTACTTAAACTGATCCCTTTTCCAAGAACACAGTGTCAGCAAATGCACAGACCATAATTGGCACATTCAACTCAGTCAGAAGGTCTCCAATATAATATAACCGCCATAAGACAATGTTTACATCTCAGTGTTTAGAGCTCTGGGGTTGAAAACGGCTCATGGGCATTATAGATATTAAATACCCAGTATTCAGGAGTGAGGAGGACAAGAGAAGAGAGTGAAGTTGGTTCACTCATTCATTCAATAATATTAAACACCTAGTTTACGAAGTGTTCTAATGACAATACAGTGTTTTTCTGCCTTTGGAAAGGCTCCTGAGCAGCTTTGCTTTTCCAGGGTTCTGGCCGACATTGTGGCCAAGTGCCATGAAGAGCAGCTAGAAGACTCTGTCCAGTCATACATTAAGGTAGGAAACCACCACCCAAGCATTGACCTGGTCCCCTGTGCTGTGTGGCTTGTCTCATTTCCTGTCTGCCTTAAGAGGGAAGTTCTCACCTTTGCTGAGTGGTGCCCATCAGAGTCAAACCAAGAATTTCCTTTAGCAGAATTCCATCTTCTTGCACTAATGGGCTACACGTATTGTTTAAATGTATACATGTATAAATACTGTGTCATGGGCAAATGAGTGTTTATGTGGGAGAGAGGAGAGAAAAGGATGGAGAAGAAAATTAAAGTGTTGTTCTTTTTAAATCAACATTATAAATACATGAAATTCTTATGTTAATAGAAGGAAGACTTTTCCTATGGGTTTGTTGATGCTCTATGTTTCTTCTGTAATGTTTTCTCAGATCTTTCTATTGTTTTCTCAGGCATTATTTCATTTTCCCAGTTACTGTATATTTGTACCTGCTTCTGGTATGTTAAGTCCTTTATCTTCTGGCATGAACCACTTGTCCATCCCATTTGTGTGCACTGCCTCCTCAGTGTCCTTTGTCAAGTGTGCACTTGGAGATGTTTCTATGCTCATTTCCAGTTGCCCTGTAAATCAATGCCAGTGAACTTGTGATGATGTTTGCACTTTCATAGCTCTACCATAATGTCTTCTCCTTGAATGAAAATAACCCATCTAGAGACAAATATGAGCATCTTAAAGTACTTTTTAATACATAAAGGACCTACATTTTCTCTATGCATAGGTTAAATCTTTTTGAGACATGTTTTTAATGAACAGACTATATCCTAATAATATATATGAATAAATATATACTCCTACACTCTAGATATCTAGAAATGTAGCTGGAGAAGTATTCAGGTCTCTTGGCTGGAAACTTTGTTTTTAAAGTAATAACAATGACGATAATGATAATAATTGCCAATGCTCCTATAAAATGAATTAACTAGAAATTACATTCTAGAGTGAACCCCTCTGAGATACTTAAGGAAATTTTTCATTACAGTTTTATATCTTATATCCTTTTACCTGCCAAAAAATGCTGGATGTCTTTCCAAAATACTAAAGCATTAGTGTTTGCCCTTCCTTAAAACAGCGTATATGCCAAAGATATTCAGTTACTTCACAATAATTTCCCTGTGGTGTAATTTTACCTGATAAGACCCACATTTCGATTACAGAAAGCCAGTTCCATCTACAAATGTCCTTTTAGTTTGCTGTCTGTTTAAGAGAGGGTCAAAGCTTATTTTTATATTTATAGGGTATTGATGAGTTTAACAGAATCGTCTGGAGAGTATTTCGTCTCCTCGTACTCACCACAGTTTTTCCATTCTAATCCCCAAAGAGACTGAGAAAAAAAAATAATTTCTTGACACATCATATACACGAGTGACTTCATGTTACCCCAAGTGTCGGTTTCCTCATTCCAATGGAATCATTGAAAGTTACACTAAGAACCACTGGTGTTATGACTGTTTCTATGATCACCAAGGCTTGTTCCTTATGAGTGCCTCAAATCTCAGACTCTGTGACACTCTTGGAGAAATACATTGGAAATTCATTTTGTCATGGTCTTTATTTTCAACCAGAACACATGAAATATCCTGACAAGACCATTTCATTTGACAACATAGGCGATTGATAGCTTATCTACTTTGTTTTGAAATGATTCAAATCCAGAAATACACCTCTGTAGAATTTCAGGTCAATAACAATTCCTAAAGACATCTAGAATATATTTTCAAATATCTAAAGCAAATACTTCCTAATATAATCAGCTTGCATTTTATTCTGGAAAGGTCACCAAACTAGCAAGTGAGAGACTAGATGCTAGTCAGGAATAAGTAGTTAACTTGAGCAGTCAGCCCCACAAAACTTGTTTTCTCCTCTGTGATGTAAAACGAGATGAACATCCAGATCTGTGATTCTGTTATTAGACTCCTGGTATACAACATAGTTGACAGCCTGAACTTGACCCAAGAGTCTATAGGTGAAAAAAAATTTTTGAACAATGGGTAGATATTAAGCTCTACACTGAGAAACACAGTGCAAACTGATGGGCTGGTTCCATTACATCCTTGATATCTTTGAGAGATGTGATACTTAATGTAATTTATATTCATTCAGAAGTAAACAAAACACCATTTCAAGTTCAGTGGTGCTGAATGCTGCTAACTCACTCCATCTACAATATCCAATCTGTACACCTGCGCCATATCTTTCTCCAAGATGTGTGTCTAAAGTCAATTTAATTCAGTGCCATGGATTACAGTGACTTATAGTACTGACAATTTCTGGAGGTCAGAATTTTGAAATAAGAACATTTCATTGCTAGTTGAAATGCCCTTCAGGCTAAATAACTGCACAGGATTAGATAACTGGTGATGACATTACCCACATATGAGGCATGATCCATAAGAGGAAATCGTATTGCTCTTGATGACGGCTAGTTTAAGGTATCCATTGGCTTTGGCTTTCTCCTTTGAGATGAACTTGCAAAGCTCAGGCTCCACCATGATGCTGATATACACAAAGGTCCAAGAAATGGTTATAGATTCAGAAGTGAATATGCCAGTCTCTTGCCGGCCTTCCCTCTCAATTGTGAATTTATGAATAAATATCCTACCTTGAGGCAAACCTAACTCATCAGTAAAATATTATAATTAGGTAATAAGCATTTCTATTTGAAACATATATATTGCATACAGTGATATTGATATTCTTAAAGTATATGACGAAATATAGAAAATTAGCCACAAAGTAATCTGTGAAAAATATAAAGCAGCATTTGTTCTCTTACTGATGGCCAATGTTTATAAACCTCTTCATAGCTGTGGCTAAGCATGGGGTGGTAGACCCTGGACTTGTGGGGATCTCACCCTACTGGCCTATGGAAGGCACCTGCTTCCCCACTTGGCTGTTTGAGTGGGCGCTCTACCCTTTCAGGATGAAGAATTGCTACCATGCCACCTGTTGCCAGTGGAAGGAAGGAGAAGGGGAATTTGTCCTAAGTAGGTGGGTCAAAGCCCTCCGTGTTTCCTTGAACCTGCTAAATGGCTCTCTGGCTCTTTCTCTCGATTTCTACAAAAAAGAGTTTCAAGCAGAGCTTAGGTGAGCAAGGCCCTATTTGTGCAAAGCCCTAAATAGGAGCAGGTGTGTACTATTCTTGTATTAGGTCTTCATTAATTTCATGACAAAATCTGGCATGAGCAGATAATTTTGAGAAATGTGGTATAATTTTTGAAGCTTTTTAAAAAAGTAAGTAACTTTGTTCACTTTTTTGGATTTTCTTCAGTTTGTGTTCAAAACCATGGTCTGCAAGGAGAGAACAATACATGAGGAACTGGCTAAAAATGTGACTGGTCTTTTGAAGTCAAATGACTCAACAACGGTAAAGCATGTTCTAAAGGTAAATAATTTAAAGGCAGTTGATTCATTGCTAGCACTAGGGACGGAATTCTCTTTCTCCTGGAAGGAGATGGGATGCACTGATTTTCAGTGACCATTTCTCTTCTAGTTTCTGACATAAGCTTCATATTGAAACTGTAGCATATAAAATTATTAAGCAAAGGAGATCTATGTCAAGAAAGCATAGAAAAAAGTAGATTGGATCCAAATTAAATTCTTTGACCTGAAAGCAGAATGATCTAAAGCTTTCAAAAATCTGAAGTCTAGCACAAATAAACTTGGGAGGTTGTAGCCACAGTAAAAGGAAAAATACCAAGAAAAAGACCAGTGATGTTATATTAATGAGTATACTGAAAACAAAGAAGAAATGGAGCAACAACCATTTTTTGGTCTCAGAAAATTGAAACACATGCAGGAACTTAAAGAACAGATGGTGAGAAGCTTATAAAACAATAACCATTATGAATTTGAATTAGATTTCAAGTGAAATCTAACTATTATGACTAAACAGATGAATAATTAATTGGTAAATTGCTGGAAAGAGAAGCCTAGATCAATAAGCATCAACATGAGTTCACTAAAATCTAATTGTCCTAGGCCAAGTGATTTGTTTGTTTGAAGCAGCCTTAAGAGTATTTTTATTCTGTTTATTCAATAAATATATTCTAGGGCCCTCCCTTGCAGCAGGCAGGCACTGGGAATGCATTAGAAAACAAAATAAAGATCCCTTCTCTTAGTTTATATTCTGGAGGAGAAAAAAACCTATCAACAGCAGATATAATTCAAAAATAGATTATATTGTGTGTTGGAAGACGAGGGGTAAGATTGGGAAAGAAGAGGTAGAACAGGTAGGAAGAAGTAGGCATATTGAGGGAAAAGGGAGAGTGGAAGTCTCAAATAGGGTGGGCAGAATGGCTTTCATAGAGAAAGCAATACTTGAACAGAAAGTGTGAAGGAACTGAGAGATCTTCCCGTGGAGATTTTAGAGTGGAGCACTGGAGATAAACACTTTTGTTAAGCTGTAAGGCAGCAGCACAGCTCTGGGTCTAAGAGAAGCCCCTGTGGATGAAGGGGAGTGAAAAAGAAGGGAGAGGGTAAGATGAAGTCCAAGAAGCTGTAGACAGACTGGCATGATTTCAGACTATTTTAAGAGTGGTGGGAGTCTGCTCAGCTATGAGACAAATGATGGAGTACTTGGCATGGGGGCTAAAAATACTGTTGGGGACAGGACAGGAGAAGGGATTGTTATAGTGGGCCTTGGATTCATTAAGCATTCCTAACAGTGTCAATTTCACTTCCAATATTAAGTAGCCTTTTTTTTTTTTGGTGGTACTGGAGATTGAACTCAGGGCCTCTCACACTTGTTAGGAAAACACTTTACCACTTGAGCTCTACTCCCAGTCTTTTTATTCTAATTTGTTTTCAGATAGGTCTTCCAGTTTTGCCCAGGTTGTCCTCAGACTATGATCCTTCTACCTGTTCCTCCCCTGTAGGTGGGATTAGAGAAGCACACCACCACTCACCATCTTCCATTTCTTACTAATAAGAAGTGATCCCTTCATTAAGCCACAGCCACCTTTTAGGATACCAGCTTTTTCTCCTCCTCAGCTCTGTTACTCCTGTGGAGTTAGGAATATTTTCCTCAAAGTTCATTATACCATTGCATCAGCCTAAAACTGGATATAATTCAAGTGCCCATTGACAGTTGAGCAAATAAGTAAATGCATCAGTGGTGTGGTGACAATATGTGAGCCCTCTACTTCATGCCTTTCTGTAAATGAACCCTGGAAAAGTTTGTTGATTGAAAAAGGCATGCTCAAGAGCGCATGTATGAGATATGTGAGGTTCATTGGCAACCAAAGGTAAATATCTCTCAAAAACATATACTCAAAATGATTGAGTAAAGCACATGAATGATTGCCACAAAATTCAGGAATTTATCTGTGGTGGAGGGAGTGAGAAAGGAAGAGGGTCAGGGAAGTATAGTCTTTAAATACATATACCATGTCATTTTGCATATGGGATACATATGTCCTTAGGCCCAAGAAAGAAAGGCCCCATCTAGAACATGCTTTGCTCCTCTCCAACTATACCTTGAGGCCAAGTTATAAAAGGAGCTAAGAAAATATGCCCATCAGGAGTCCAGTCTTCAATTTTAGCCCTGTAAATATCCCAAGGAACCTCTGCTTCAAGAGCCCAAGGATTGATCCAGGGCCTACTCAGGCCTCTTTCTTAAGTCCCTCCTTCCTGGGGCAGATCTTGATGCCTGAGAGTTGCTCTAGACCCCTGGGAATTGCTGTGTGTGACAGGAGGAGGGCAGGTTTGCAGACAGCATGGAGATTTAGGCTGTACAGTCACGTAAGCACCAGGCCCCTCCAGTGGCAGAGCAGAGCCCTGGGTAGGATCAAGGGAGTAGCAAGGACCCCACTGTGACCTTGGTCCCACATTCTGGTACAGCATTCCGGGTGTTACGAAGTTATATTTGGCAAGGTAGAAGAATCAAGCATATTTTATGTCACACTCTACCTTCTTGACTTTCAGCTTCTAGAGATTTAAGCATATAACCATTTATTTTTTCTCTCATCTATAGCCCTAGAAACTTCAGGGGTAGGCCTGCTATAAAAAGTTTTATTTTAGTTTTGTTAACTAAGTGGAACAAACAGAACATCCCGTAAGTAGATCTTTCATAAAACAATCACTTAGCAGTCATGTTGAGTAAACTGGTAACTGGTTTTAGTTTAAACATTTTCAGGCAAGTGAGAAACTGCAACTTGTGACAATGTGCTTTACCATTACGACTTTGATAAAGACCATCCTAACATAATGGAAAATACATTGTTGATCTGCATCATTTCGTTTCAAAGACCTCATTTTAAGATAAAAATATTGCAATCTTATATGCTGTAAAGGACAGAATTGCAGGCTGGGGGAGTGCCGCAAGTGGAAGAGTGCCTGCTGAGCAAGCATGGGGTTCAAACCCCAGTACTGCCAAAAAAACCCAAAAGGAACAAAATTGCCATTATTCTACCATAGGATAATAAATTCCTTACTGGCTTTTTTTTTTT